GCGGGGGAGGGCAACGGGTTTCAGATTAAAGGCGCAGCGCAGGAGAAGCAGGCCGACCTCTCAGCCCCGCTCGCCGCGTGTGGGCTCGTCGGAAGTCGTGGCAGCGTCTGGGGGCTGTGAGCTGCGTGCTGGCTTGGCCAGAGCCACGTCACACCTCACACAGAGCTCCCACAGAGTTATGGAAAATTCCATTAGTCCCTTGTCATCGTCACACATTTATTTGGCAAAACCTTGGGCCTGGGAGAGCAGGTGCCTGAGTCAGGACATATGTGAAACTTTGTAGAGTTGTGGGGAGTTTGAGAAAACTTTGAAGTCGAAGGGGGCGTTTTGGGAGGAACACGTGCACGCGCGCGCGCACACACACACACGAAGTTTATGATAAACTGGCATCGTGTAATTTAACTTTTCCCAGATGTAGACACAACCTCACAGGTACTGCACAGAAGCAGGACGATAGGGCACGAGGCAGTGAGAAACGACGGGGCTCAGCTGCCCAGAGGCTCCACCTGCAAGCAGCCGGGGCCTCAGTGTCCAGGCGCGTCCCCCCCTCACTGGGAACTCAGCTGGCACTTATTAGGGCACATAGGTGTCCCCACTACCTGTCAAGGAAGGGAGCGGTTCCCACCTGGTTTGTGAGAGCTGGGTAAACACCAGTGTTCAATGGTTATCTTTTGTGCTGGAATTGACACCAAACTCACCATATAGGTAGGTGCTGTAACAACTTGAAACTCAGAGAAAGAGATTTCGAATTTAGCCATAAACAGCAGCTGTCACTCAGATTGTTCACGTGTGTTTACACCTGTGCAAACACACCAGGTGGGCCAGCCTTGTGGGAGGAAATCCACACCCACGTGGTGGACGGAGGGTAGGCCCCTGCCCACTCCTGAGAGACCTTCCAAAGGGGAGGACTTCTGAATTTCACCGTTATGCAGTTTTAAGGCATTAATGCCAAAACCCCAATTCCTATTAATCAGTAGGAAGAAGGAGGTGATGTTTGTGCCGTGTCAGCCTGTCCATAACCAGCTCTTGTTATGACGGTGACGTCCTCGACACTAACCATCAGGAAACTTGCAGAGAGGCTGTTTATCACTCAGGAGACCCGGAAATGACACAGCCCCCTGGGGCCCACGGCCTGGCCTGGGGACCTGCTTCTATTAGGGCTGAGGGTGGTTTGCTCAGTTCATGCAGTGTAAAGCTAAGCCGTGAGGAAAAGGAGAGCAGCTGCTGTCAGTGACAGTGACAGTGACAGTGACAGGGGGCTCCACTATGGTCCTGAGTGGAAGAACTAGAGCCCAGAGCCCAGGAGGTCAGCGTGGCACTTAGAGCAGCCTGAGGGCTCGGACACGGGTGCGGGGTGGGGGCGTGGCTGTCACACAGTCGGCCCAACAGCTGGCATGCGGAGGGGACGGGGCAGGGACTAAGTCCCCTATCCTGGAGGCCGAGCGCCTCGACCCGTGTTTGGGAATTCATTGTGCCGTGCACAGATGTTCATGTACTTTGAGGTGTCTGTGCAACATTTCACAGGTTTAAGGAGTTGAAAGTGCAAATACCGTCAGGAGAGGTAACGCACGGACTGACTTCTCCCAAAGTATGTCCATGGGCCTGACACCTTCCCTGGGGGTTTTGATGCAGGAAAGGGGGCAGATGCTTGGGAGCTGGCTGAAGGCAGTTAGGAGCGGAGGCCCCAGAGGCTGGAGGGAAGGGGCGGAAAAGACGTAAATGAGGACCCGTGTTAACGCATGCCAGCACTGACGTCCTAGGGGGTGGAGGCCACAGGCGTGGTGCCCACGTGCAAAGTGTGGATGCCGCTGGCTGGCGGTCATGCAGACAGCCACGTGTTAGGTGTCACATTGGGTTGGAGGTGGCATTACCTTCTGTTTCACAAGTAGGAGTTGTACCCAAGGCCTTTGTGCACGTGACAGAGCTTGGATTTCAATCTAGAGCTTTGTCTCCAGAGCTCACAGTCCCCCCCCACACACACACCCCAATCCCATGATGTGAGACCACGGGTCTCGAAGTCCTTCGTGGAGATGGAGTGAGTTAGAATGTGTGAGGCCTGGGCCTGAGATCGGGACTGTGTGGCCCCAGGAAGCTGCTTCGAGGATGAGCTGCTCTGAGCTGCTCCTCTTCCTGAGTCTGAAAACCACCATCTCCTTTAATGAGCTCTCCTCATGGTCACACCCACCTTGAAGGCCGTGCATGGGAAACAAGGAACAAACAGCACAGATTTTCACCACTCGTGACGGNTTCCATCTTCCCGTCGCGTGACGGCCGCCTCTGCTCTGTTCTCTCCTGCAGACGTGTCCAGGTGTGTGGCGGAGAGGAAGTACACCCAGGAGCAGGCCCGGAAGGAGCTCCAGCAGGTGTTCATTCCGGAATGCAACGACGACGGCACCTACAGTCAGGTTACAAACTGCACCTGAGCCGTGGGGGAGGGGCCCATGGGGGCGCAGAGCTGGAGGCAGGCGGAGACCAGGGTCAGGCAGGAAACCGCCCTTTACACGGCGGAGCTTAAGCCCCACCCAGGCTCACTTTCACGAGTAGACGTGTAAGTGAATTCCTTGCTTCCGTTCTTGGGCAGCTAAAATCTGTGTCGTTGCTCCACGGTCACCTTCATTGTGTGGTGGGAACAGGACGGCTCCCTCAGTGAGGCCGTCAAGCGTGCTGACATGGCTCACTGATGAGAACCTACTTTTAGTCTAATTTTAGCTCCAGTGGAGCTCACGCTAGAATCCTATAACGTTAGTGCCAGCCGTGAGCTCCCGAAACTTCAGACACGGGAGGCTGAGGCCCCTTGCGCTTCTGACTTTCCATTGACACCCTTGGTCAGAGGCAGCATCAAGGGAGTAACCCAGTCCTCTCTCTCAGGCTTGTCAGCGTTATCATTGTCAACACTGCTCCTCCTTGCTAGGCCAAAGGGATTCCTGAATGCTAACGAACGGAGCTTAGGGTGGAATCACAGCACAGCATCTGCTGTGGGCTTTCTGACGATAACGTGAACCCCACGCATTTTTACAACCGTCGTTTGACCTTTGGAAGACTAAGGAGAGAGACAGCAGTGGAGACAGGTTGTAGCTGCAGGAAGTGTCACTGGCTAGTCGGTGTGGAAGGACAGACACCCAGGGACCCAGGGTGTGATGGAAAGACCACCCACCAAGACCAGTATCTTCTCCTTGACCCTGCACCGGGCCAACTGGGGGACCTGAACACCTTGACACCTTGGGGCCTCGTGTGTCAGATGAGGGCTTGCTTGGGCTCCATCTCAGAGGTGGCGAGGATTAGCGAAGAGTTCAGGTGGCAGCACACACTAGCGCCCCGTAGATGCCCATGGCCGCTTTTACCTGTCAGACCCTAGGTCCAGGCATCACACTCTCGTTTGCTGAGTGTTGCGATGTAGTGGGCCTCCTAAGAGAAGGACAGTGGCCTTACCAGCGGTGAGGCACTGTGAGTACTGACTCCTCTGTCCTGTCGCCTCTCTAGGTCCAGTGTCACAGCTACACGGGATACTGTTGGTGTGTCACGCCCAACGGGAGACCCATCAGCGGCACCGCCGTGGCCCACAAGACACCCAGGTGCCCTGGTAGGTCTGATTTAATTTATGGGGTGAGCCTTCTCCTGACATCACTTAGCTGGTTTTCTGATCATCTTAGCTATGTTTGCTCATGATTCAAAAGAAACTCAGCTTCGGTGGCCTCCTGAGGAGGGATGGGAAGGGGTTGTGTCACTGGACAAACTCTAAAATATGATGAAACTTTGTTTTAAAGACAGTTTACCAACGGAAGGTTGGGTATGAACTGTGACGAGTCACAGTGACTCGTGACTCTTGATATTTAGAAATAACTACCAAAACTGTAGTCAGCAGTGGAAAGGACCCAATGTTTTGTTTGGCCAGAAAAGCAAAAATATTCTGGTTTTGTATGTATATGTTTGCAGAAAAAGTGGATCATTTTTTATAGCTCCATCTCCAGATGGTTTATTTGTGTTATTTTTATTACTCAGAAGAGGGCCTGATGTACTGAAGGTAATAATATTGGTGGGAGAACAATCTATAAAATAGTCTGTGTTCCATTAAGATTTTACCGAAAACACTATAATAAATGATTCAGATCATTTGTATTTGAAAATGGTCTGCAGCTTGAGTTTTGATTACTTGTTTGGGGAGACCTATTGGATCATCTATTAAGAAACTTCGTGGTCTGTGCATCACAATTTCTAGATTAGACTTATTAAAATAGGCAAAGCGTCATTATATAACAATAAGAAAGTACAAAACACCTTCCTGGTTTTTTCATGTACAATATTGAAACATTTTCATTTAGTGTTTTCTTTGAGATTTAGTTTCTATGTAAAGGGAAGCGTGTTATAATTAGACATTCTGTTCATGACTCAGACATTCATAACAGTAGCCACGGCACAGAAGTCGTCACTGCCTCAGAATAGGGACATCTGTAATTAACAGTAACACGAAAGCTAATATTTCCAGTGACCGGTCCTCACTTAAAAGCCGTGGGGTAGACATACAGTGGCATTAAAACATATTTATTTTTAAAAACTATTTTGTCATCAAGACCTAAAAATGGCTGAAAAAATATTTTTATTGAGCTAACATTGCACCTAATAATTCTTTTACAAACTCATGGAGTAAATGAAAAAGAACAAAATGACACATTAAGTTGGGGTCCGCGTGTGTCCCCCCCGAAAGACGCTTGCACACACTCACTTCACCCACATTGCAGCCATTTGAATCCGGCCTTACTTTATAAAGGAGGAAACAGGGTGGTATCTGATTTTGTGGCTCTAACGAGCCTGTTGGAAACATTCAGTAGCACCCCAGAGAACTTTCTGAGAAAACCATATGCAAAATCAGCTGAAATCCTTATATTCTCCAAGTAATACTCTGCTTTTGGGGTCAAACCACTGTGCTTTTCCCGCCCGCCATGCTTTCCAACCGGGCCTCAGTAACACTTCACTGGCTAGAAATGCCCCNAGCTTGTAGAGTAAGCTGCCACTTGCTCTGTTCTCTAAGGGCCCAAACACGGCGAACTCTCCAGCACGCCCAGGTGAGAGCTTTCTGCTCTGAATGTGAGAGAGGAGGTGACGTGGCCCCGATGTCACTCAGGTCACGCGAGGAACCACCGGCTTTCCTCTGTCTGGTCCCCGTGTGGGAGTGGGCACGTGTTTCCTAGGCTCGGGTTGGTGAGTGCTGAGCTGCATGCTTTGAGGGCTGGTCACACGTCTGGTGGGTGACAGCCCTGTACACCTTCCCTTTGGAATTCACTGGCTCGGAAATGATGGTTTAAATATTTCCGTCCCTGCTTAACTAAGTTGGGTTGAAATGTTTTATGCATTTCACATGACGATCTGCCATTGACTCTGAATGGACTGCAGCTCTTTACACTGAAGAGGTTTCTCCTAGTTTTTGAGAAATGTGTGGAATTTGTGTTTTTAGAACTCAGCAAACACATTAATGTTTTCTTCTGATCTGAGACCATTGGGGCTGTCTTTCTTTTCAACAAAATGTCTGACATTCAATTAAAACAGATGAAAAAGGAGGAGAAGGAAAAGAATCAAGTACCAGGGGCCCCGGGACGCATCTGAGATTTCTGGAGCTGAAACCATATTGATATGTGACCAGGCAGCGTCCTTGGCGATTTCCAAGACCGAGAGCCTGCAATGGGCCAAGTTGTAAGGAAAGGAGCGTTGGTAGAGTGCGCTCTCCAGGTTCAGCCCCCTCTCGTCCGCTGCCAGCGTCTCCTGGCCACTGTCCTGGCCACCACTGCAGTGACAGCCGCAGCCACGCTGCTGGGCCCTGTGTGTCACAGCCAGCCCCGCACGTAGGCCACGGCCGCAGGAGCCAGCAGGGCTGTGATGGAGGCAGAAGGCCCCACCGCGCGGGACACATTGTGACCAGTGCCAGTGTCGTGACGAGTTTTCAGAGCCCCGCTCTCTCCCTGCGAGGACCCCGGGGGGCACAGGCAGAGCTGCTCTGGCCCCGTCGCTGCGATTGCTGCAGACCCCTTAGGGTTTGCATGTCCCAAGGCCCTCCCTCTGCTCCCGTTACCTTTGACAGGTTTGACCTTGGCGTTCCCTGAGAAAGCCCGTGGCCTCATGACCTTGGGGCTGTGTGCTGAGTCCTCACACCACGGCCACTGCCCAGAGTCTTCTCTGCAGCTCTGCAGGGACTGGTGGCCACTTTGGTCTTGTTGCCAGCGGTCAGAGCAGTCGTTTGGTGTCACCCCTTCCAACAGCGGATCCCCTGAGGCGAGGAACAGCGAGGGCACAGGGTCTCGGGAGAGCCCTGACCATCCCTGCCTGGGGACCAGGGCCCCGTCAGCCTTCAGCCGCAGTGCCTTCCTCTTGGGGATGTGACCCAAGGGTGGCCCCTGGAGGGGCGTCTCAGCGGCGCTAGGCTCAGTGTGCCTTCTGTGAAACCCCGTGGGAAGACAGCGTAAGCTCCTGTGCGCGCACAGCTCTGGAAATTCAGTGGAAGGTGGTGACCCACAGACGGGTCAACAGGGCTTGTCCTGCCTGAAACGAACGGGGTTTTCAGCTGTCTCTTCTTTAAGGCCTCTCACGGCCATTCTCCACAGTATTGCCATCTCAGTGTCCTCTGTGTAGTTTTTATTCTTATTAAAAAATGATACAAAACCTAAGCATAGCGACTGCCCTGTGTGTGACCTGCTCAGGCCTCTTCGCACTCATCACTGAAGACGGGTGGCCTGTCACCTTCCGCCTGGCCTGACAGGAGCCCCAGCCCACCATGGCTCTCCATGTGGCCCAGGGACCAGGGGCAGCGGGCAAGGACCTGCATCTGCATCTCGCCAGCTGCCAGGTTTTCTGATGCCACCAAAGTCAGGATCATAGGACCCGTGAGAGGAGCCCAGGCAGGAGGCGCCTGCTCGGTGTCTGACCGCCTGGCCTGGGGGCCACACATCGGCCTTGTCTTCTCGCCTTTAAAATAGGCAGTTGGATCAGAGAACACTGAGGATTCCTTCTGTTTGACAGTTTTTCTGGTCAGAAGGCCGAGCAGCCGAGAGGCCCCCAGTAGCTGCGACTGGGGTTTGGGGAAACCCACAAAATGGCACTTAGTTTCCGTAAATCAGTTGCTAGGCTGCTGTTATTTTCTTCAGTGAAACAGGTATTTGCATGAAAGAAGTCTTTATGGGGTGTGCACATATGCATGTGTGTGTGCGTGTGTGTGTGCGTGCGTGCGTGCATGTGTGTGTGTGCGCGCGCGTGTGCACGTGTGTGTGTGTGCATGTGTGTGCGTGTGTGCGCGCACGTGTGTGTGTGTGTGTGTGACCCTCTCTTCTCCCCGGGCCTCCAGCCAGGTCCACGGCCTTGCTCCAACCTGTATCTATTAGATTTCTTTCTTCTACAGGCCTGCTACCTGGATAACCGTCAAGCATGGTAGTGCTCTGCCGGAGCCCGTCTCTTGCAGGAATCTGACCCAAAGCAGTGTCCCTTGTCTCCTTCACAGTGTGCTAGCAGGTCTGATGTTGGAAGCGACCCTCTTTATAAACGGAAGGAGTCGTAACAAGAGGTGGCATCATCGCTCCCATGATCAGAAACACACAGACTTGTCTGGAATATTATGCGAAGAGGATTCTGTTGGCTGTAGCCATCCCTGTAGTCTCAGAGTTAGTTCATCAGAGAGCTGGGTGAGCCGCAGTGCGGCCTGAGGACGGCTCCCCTCTGGAAGGTTATAGCCAGGCTTCCCAGAAAAGGTTGGGTGACCTCTTGCATAATGACCTAGTTTGATGTTTGATAGTTGTGGTTATCAATTACCAGAGAGATAATAGGATCAGTTGTTTCCTGTAGGAATGTCATAAAAACCATCCGAATACTTTATGTATTCTTGCAATAGTTTGCAGTTTATCTTCATTTTTTTCCTTCATGACTTGGCAACCCCATTACATACTCAGGGTTTTCCTATTATAATTTGTTTCTGTCCTCAAGCATTTATAGCGATAACACTTATTGAAAATGAACACTAAGTTCCTTTTCTCCTCTAGCTCTGAAATGTTACAGACTTCGCTGGGCCCCTGCAGGCTGGTGGGGGAGGGGCCTTGTCGGGCGTCCTGCCCGTTCATCACAGCACATGGTTAAGAAGGGAACGGATATTTTATTTATGCCAAAGAACATTGCAGCACAGAATTCTTAATTTTTATGAGTCTGACCTTCAAAATTATGGGCGGGTAAAATATCACAACTTTGAAACACAGCGTCTGTCTTCATTAGATGCCAATAGAAATGAAAGGCCCCTCGCAGGCCGTCTCTCTGTGGCCACGGCCCAGGGGAGCGCGCGCCCTTCGTCCGGTTGCTCTCGCTCGTCCAGCTCCCGCCTTCTAAGGCCGGGCTCGCCTGTGCCAGGCACTGAGCTGGGCCACGAGGGTACGGCCGTGACAGCTGAGTCGACCTCGGGGCTCATAGCACTGTGCCCACTTAATACCCACTCAATGCCAGTCTAGACCCAGAGTCAGAAAAACTGTCCAGCGGACCTTTCATTGTGGGTTACACACGAGAACTCGGCAGCCATTCCGTGTTCCCGGGGGTTCCTGGATGCCATGAGGAGCTTGT